AAAGAAAGGATGTGCGAAAGAAGAATTCGCTCGAAACTCGCAAAGTCAACGAACGGCAAAGGCAAAGTCCCTCAGATCACAAACAAGATAACAAAACACAACAAGAAAAACAGTAACCACAAAAAATTCTTAAAACTAAAATGAAACATAAAAAATTTGTTTTTGCTATGCCTACAGCAGGATCGCGCTGTAGGCTGGGTACCACCAAGGCAGTTCAACGCAAGCGTGGGTGGATGCCGGTGGGCTGATTCTTCTTGTCTTGCTTGAACTTGTTGATGATCTGGGTGACCGTAAGCCACCCGTAGGTGGCATAGATGCGGTCGACCACTGCCCTCCAACCGAATCACACAGTCCCACACATGCTTGCGGCGGCAGAACTTGTCCTTGACGCGGCCGCGCTCACGAGCAGTAAACTCACATGCGGCCTTGTTCCCGTTCATGCCCTTAATCCACTCGTACCACAGCTCGTAGAGGTTGAAAGGCTTCTTCGAAAGCTGGGCTGGGAGGGTAGCGCGTGTAGGGGCCCTTGCGGCAGGAGTACGGGCCAAACGCCCAGGACTCGGTGGTGGTGGGGGAAGTCCTCCGCCCGCCGCAGCAGCACCGCCGCCGCCAGCTCCCGCAGTACCACCACCAACGCCAGCTCCCGTAGCACCACCGCCAACGCCAGCTCTACCGGGCGCACCAGGAAGCGGAAGCCTTGGAGCACCACCACCCCTCGCGATCAACTGGAAGTGGTTGATCCTCCCAATATTCTTGTTGACAATGGCAATGTTGGTCGAGACATAGCCCCTCAACGAGCTGATGTCCTGTGCCAAGATTTGCTGGGCCTCCTCGATCGCCTGCTGAGTCCTATGTTGGAGAGCAAGCAATTGGTTGAGCTATTCCATGTTGACACCACCAAGAGCACCTCCAACCAAGGGCTCGGCACCAGCTTCGACCTGGGCGGTGGGAGCCAACTCAGTAATGTGCAATGCATTGGCTACCTTGTAGATTGTGAGAGGGATCTTGGCCACTGGGTTGTAGTCGGCCCCAGGATCCTCATCCAAAGTGGTTCGAAGCTGAGCATACTCCGTCTGGATGCGGTTGCGAATCTCAGCCGTCATCATATGCTCCAAGCCAGGTTCCATCGCAGCCCAAAGCAAGGCTGGACCAAGCACCATGGCGATGTTGTTGCTTGGGTCGTCAGCGAAGAAGTCGCAGATCTTCGGATAGACATGCTCACCGATGAACCCATGGTCAACACCGCTGTCAGCCTTGATGCTGTACTTGACGGACCACCAACAGCGAGCGTCCAGCAACCTTGGCGTCGGTGGGAAGCTGCTCCAGGTTGATGTACATGAACGATGTTCCATTCTTCTCTCCCTTCCAGCGACCCCGAGTTTCATTCTCGGACTGGGTAATCCCACACTCAGCAGCGTAGGTGGGAGGCAACTTGCGCACACTGTGGGTACCAAGGCTACCCTGGACTTGAGCCGCAAGCTCCACGAACTCTGGGTCCTTCCAAGCCTTCTTCAAAGCCCATTGGTACCAGGTGTTGACTCGGTCAGGCTCCGTCTCAATCGTCGTCTCATCGAGCTCTTCGTCGTTGTCCAGAGCTTCGATAGCGGCAAGGAACGCTTCTTCATCGTCGACACGTAATGGCCAAACAGAAACTTGGGATCACCGTTCCCCTCTCAAGACGAGTCTCGATCCAAATAGCCAAGGCAATCAGGACGCAAAAGTCAGGGTCAGCGGCACCAGCAATTTGGTCGGAAATCGCGCTCCTCCTGGACATTCTGCTCCAGGATACCTTGGTTTAAGAGCGAAGTTGGAAACTTGGAGTGGCTGCGCAGATCCAAAGTCTCCATGTTGGTCAAATCATCAGTGCGCCCAATCAAGTGAAACTGAACCTTCAACATGGTTGGGATATTGATCGTCGTGTCAATGTTCGCTCCTCCATCGCGTTCCACAATGCGAATGGTCTTGCGGAATTCCCGGATCTTGAGATCCCTCTTGACATTGGGTTTCCTGCCCTGCTTCCTGACCTCAGCCTTCTTCACAGCTTTGATCACTTCATTGACAACCCTGGATCGAGTGGATTCCCAACATCGGGACAACAGCCCATGATGCGTGGCGGTTCGGATGGAAGTGGCTGATTGCCTTCTTGTATTGTTCAAGAGTGGTAGATCTCTTGTGGGTGGGGCGGTCATTGGGCCCTGGGTTGATCTTTCCATAGGCAAGGAAGTTCAGGAACTGGGCGACATCAGTAGGGGTAATTTCTAGGAGCTGGTCCTGAAGAACAAAAAAATGAAGACGACCATGGTGTGAGCGACAATGTTTTATCAGCGAAATGACAGATTTGGCGAACGAACGTACCTGTGTAAAGGTCCTCTTGCTATTGTACGGTGTCTGCCAGACGTGCTTCCAAGACATAAACCAGGTGAGGACCGGCCGGTATTGTTGGTCGAGCGATTTCCTCTTCCTCGCCATGGTCGCAAGTAGATAGTGATGAGCGATGAGCAACAAAATAGAGAGTAACAAAATAGCGAGTTGAGAGTGATGCATAGCTTTCGCCTTTTCAACTGCATCCATCGAAATTTATGGAAGATTTGGAGAGGAATGATACTCCATCCAACGGCCAGCCAGCCAAATGCAGTCGTATGTATGTGATACGACAGTTGGATCGAGGGGATCTTGGGGCGTTTCCCCTCTCTCAGTACTAAGAGAGAGGTTCCGGATCGTTAAGTCTTCGAGTTTCGCGGAAACCTTCGTGTGTGACTAGCTTGTATTTGACAGTTAGTACTTAGGCGAAATGTTGTATTTTGGGGTTGCCCATGCAACTACCAATGCGATTCTGAGTAGTATCGGATACCCTCAAATGCCTGGTTTTCCCCGGCAAAATACTCTCAATGTCCAATGCGTATCTCTATACCCCAATAATGATATTCTTACTTAGCACTGATTAGGGCGAATCGGTCACTGCCGGCGCTAGTAAGAGTACACCCCAAGTCCCACCAACGCATACAACTCCCCCAAGACTGATACCCTCTATCATGTGACTACGGTTGTATATTGGTAATACAGTACATGTTTAGTTACGGGAATGAGTTAGTTGCAAGGAAATTGTTAGTTTCACAGAAAAGAGGTTAGTTTCACGGAATTATAAGTGGATTTGCACGAAACTGGCCGAGGATCAACCTTATGTCATCCAGCCAGTTTCAAGGGCTGCATCCACGCAGAAGCAAGCAAAGGAAAGGGATTGCTAGCTAGATTAGCACAAGTGTCCCCCACTAGCTAGCAAAATCGATGACGGCGGGATGATAGGCTTGGAAACAAAATCACAGCCACAAGAAACAGATCTATCAGGCAAACTGAACAAATGTGTAAACCATGGCTGACTCGACCGGAGCAATTAAGATTCGCTCAAGTACACAGGATCGCTCAGGACGCACTTTGAAAAAAGTCTGGCGGCAGCCGCTTCGCCCTTTCTTCCAAATCAAGGGTACGTACAAGTACGTAGACTGCATCTCGTACGTACGTACGTACGTACGGAACGCACAAGGGACCTATTTTGGTGCAAGTGGCTCACCTTCATCGATGCAATGGGTCATCATCATCTTACGATACCTGGTAATATATTCTCTATCTACTACTACGAGTACTGGTACTGTAGCAGAGTTGATGAGTGACGAGTCGATGACAATGTGTGATCCTGGTACTTCCTGCCTTGCCCACTGGCCAAAGACAACATCCAAGCAAGCCTCTGGCAACTCTACTAGCTAGAGCCAACTAGCTAGCTAGAGCCGCTACCGGCAGCATCTTGCTTCCGTTTGACTCGCAGAAGCAATTAATTATTATACATGTAATTGTCTTATGTTTGAAGTCTGTCTGGCAGTGAGCTCCCTTTCAGATGGCACAAGGGAGAAGGAGTGGTGCCGTCAGAATTGCGCACAATGCCGAACAAAACCAACGTTAGCGAGGGATGTCTCGAGCCAAGAAAACAAAAGTGGACAAAAGTGGACACCCAGCCAGCCAGAAACAACATGTATTCACACACTCAGTCATTGTGATAACTGTCTGGTGGGTGGGTGGGTGCGTGGGTCCTACCTAATCTAGTAACTACTCGTAGCTAGCTAGCTAGAATAGCTCTTAGATCTAGTCCCCACTTTCTATCAAATTTTGCCTGCCCGAGTGATGCGAGTGTCCACTCCTTGGCTACTATTCAGTAACCAACAGCCCCAGCGTAGCCTGGCCCCTGCCCTAACCAAGAAACACTGAAGCCAAGAGCATGGTTTGTTGCTACAGTATTATAAAAAGCTGCTCAAAGTGGCCAGCGGTAAGGAGACTTTCCTCGATCGCCGTCCGCCTCCTTCTGTATGGTAGCTCACCAACTAAGCTCGTCATCTCGTCATCTCTCTTATCGGTCTTATTGTCTTCTCTTTTGTCAGTCTTCTCATTGTGTTCCTTTGGTCTTGTCTTTGGTAGTCACCACTATGTCATCTGCCCACCAGCTGCGAACAAGCTACGCACATGCTTACATGGACGTTACCCTAAATCGGTACAGGCAAATAATTATTGATGTTCGATGGTCAAACACTGTCAGCTGCACAACAGCTGCGAGCACAAGGCAGACACTTTCGAATTAAGAGGGGACTTCTTTGATAAATAAATCGTCATTAATTTTGAAAAGAAGGGATGTGCTCAGAAATGCGTACATTCTGTGACCGTCCATGTCTTAAGTTCGCATGTTCTTCATGACTGATGCCTTTTGGCGACCAGAAGGCTTCCTGTAAGTTTCGGTCATCGGTGACCCACAGGAAAGAGGTGGAAAGAAGGTTTCGAGTGATTGTTCAAAAGTGCTCGTGGATCCCCCCAAAAGCCATCCGCTCCCAATCATTCTCATCTCACAATTTTCGGATCTTCGGTATCAATCAGCCATCAATCAGCCATCACACACAGAAAAGGTAACAGTTTGATCCAACCAAACCCCGAGAACCCTTCATTATTCCTCCACGACCAAGATGATGATAAAGTCCTCCGTCTCCAAGGCATGCCTTGTCCTCTTTGTCTCCTGCCTCCTCATCACCCCATCAGCGGCACTGTGGCATACCCGAGCCAAGCCGGTCGTTGGTACTACCACTACCTGTTCTGCCAATTCTGGCGGAACCTGTGGTGTCAATGATGGCAATAACAGCAATAATGAGACCTACTCGAAATTTCACTACAAGACCAACGATAATGACGGCTCAAGAAACTTGCACCAAATCCTCTTGTTTGTCTCTGCCGTCTTGTCGTTGGGTATCTCCATTGGCATTTACATGGGCAAAAGCAGCAGCAGCAACGCCACCAGCAAGAGCAAGACTGGCCGAGAGAGCATTATCAGTGACACCCTGTCCATCTTTTCGTCCGGGTCCAACAAGAGCAGCAAACAGAAGAAGCACACGCCCAAGGTCCAAATCATCACCAAGGGATTTGATACCGTCTTGCGACGCATGAATGGAGCGGATGTCGCATTTGATGGGATCCAACTCCAACTGACGCAAAAGGTCAAAAAGGGCAGTGATCAGCCAGCCACACGAATGCTGTTGGATGGCAGTTTTCGGGGGAGAATCAAGTCGGGACGCATGGTAGCCATCATGGGGCCGTCCGGAGCTGGAAAGGTAAGTGATTGAATGCAACGGGGCTAGTATGTTGATCGATGCATCTCAGGTTCCAGACTCACGTATTCTATGTATGTATATTTCCAGTCCGTCTTTCTCCACGCTTTGGCTGGCCGCATCAAGGCCGACAGCAAACTCGCGTTACAAGGCGACCGGTACTTGAACGGTCAAGTCCAACCTCCGGATGCCGTCCTCCCGGCTGCCTTTGTCGAACAAGAAGTCAACTTTTTCCCTCGCATGACGGTTCGCGAGACACTGGCATTTCGTGTCGCCCTTCATTACGGCGACTTGCTCGATAAGGACGCCCAACAAGCTCGTGTCAGCGATCTCTTGTCTCAGCTGGGTTTGGATATCTGTGCCGACACGATTGTCGGTGATCAAAAAGTCCGGGGCATATCCAGTGGAGAACGCAAACGGTTGTCCATTGCCGTGGAAATGATCTCGTCGCCCGATTTGGTCTGTTGTGATGAACCGACATCCAATTTGGATTCTACCGCGGCGGCTGTTGTCGTCGACAAGTTGCGACAAATGGCCGTCAAGGGCAAGACCATTCTCTGTGTCATTCATCAACCCAGTGCCATGATTTTCTCGCAATTTGACGATGTCCTCCTCGTCAGTCAAGGCAAACAAATGTACTTTGGACCCGTCTTTGGCATTCGCAAGTACATGGAAGATCTGGGATACTTGCCCGAAGACGAAACGGGAACCCCGGAATTCATTTTGGATTGCGTCTCGCCCATTCCCAGCATGTGGGAAATCCCCAAGGAAGCCGAAGATCGATTGCAAGTCTTGGCCAAGGCAGCCATGAAGCAAGCGGCGGATATGGATTTGGGGGTCAAGAATGGCGATGGAATGGCGGAATCTTCCTGTCCGTCACTACTGGGCGACAGTACCGCCAGTCTCGATTCGGATTGTCCCCGTACCAGCATGTGGACGCAATTCAAACTACTGTTGCAGAGAGCCGTTGCCGAAAACTTTCGGGGCAAGGATGTCATTATGATCAAGACTACGCAACAGGCGGTAGTGGCAATCATCTACGGTGCCATTTACAGTTTGGGCCACAATCAGGCATCCATTCTGGATCGATTTGGATTGTTGTCCCTGACATCGATTGGTGGGGCCAACATGGCCATTGCCACGGCATTGCGCAGTTTCCCCAAAGAAAAAACCATTGCCGGGGCCGAGATTGCCATTAAGCAGTATCGAGCACTCCCGTACTTTGCCGCCAAGGCCATTTCCGAACTCCCTCTGGTCTTTTTTTACAATGGTGTCATGGGTATCATTCTCTTTTTCGCAACCGGCATGAATCCCGATCGATTCTGGACGTTCCTCGGACTGATTACGTTGCATTCCTTGGCGTCGGAAGCGTCCGGGATGGCAGTGGGGGCAGTCAGTCCCAGTTCGGAGGTTGCCTTGGCTGTCTTTCCCGCCATTTTGATCTTGAATGTCATTTTTGATGGCCGCAACATTTCCATTGAGAATACCCCGTTTCTACTGCGCTGGATTCCCAAAGTGTCCCTCATCCGCTGGGGATTTGAAGGTGCGTCAAGTTCATAGCTGTCCACGACATTGTCGCTCCACTTGCGTGGCTTGTTTGTTTGTTTGTTCGTTCACGGTATCTCATCTACTATGCCTCGTTGCTTGTTCTTTCTCTACAGGGTTGGTTGTCAATGAGTTTGAAGGTTTGGAATTCGATGCCACTGATTCGGAGGGCCCAGCGGCGGCCACTGGCAAGCAAGCCTTGGCAATGTTTGGTATGGACGACGCGAGCGTCGAGGATGCGGTCCAGGCGGAAGCCACCATTATGATCGCATGCTGGTGCTTGGCGTACTTGGGCTTGACCCTTACGAAACAGAGGTTTGTGACGATGCAACCAGTCCGGGGGTAAGAACGCTTTCGATTGATTGAATTCGTTCAGCACGAAGACCGAACGGAGAGCCATAATATTGTGGTCTCGAGGAGCGCAACTGTACATACAACGCCATAGACTCCATTCATACAGTAAAATACATTTTCACGGTGCATCAAAGAAATACATGTAGGAATATTCGTTATCGAGCACTTACAATGGGTGATCCCGTTTATGAAGGGTCTCTACGTAGCTCAACGACACGCCCTCCCTTTACCGTTTTCAAGGGACCATGGCTATGATGCTCTATTCTGGCTTGGAAAACGAGGAAAAGCCAGAATAAAGGCGGCTGGAATTGGAACCTCGTATGCGGTCCTTGCTTGGAGTCCGGGCTCCTCCGTGGCAGCCCGTTGCTCCGAGTGAAGTGGCCGACGAGTCGTCCGGGCCCTGCACCTGGCGACCAACCTACTCCCTTCTAATGCGTGACGATAAAGCATATATAGAATTCTATTTTAAGGCTACTCTGAGTACGACTATCCACCGTGCCGCTACCCTAAACCGATAACCCCCACAAACATTGGGGCGGAGAGAGTTGGCCCCCTCAGCCGGGAAAGTTTAAAACCCAACCGAGGCAAGATATTAAGGGGGAAGGTCACCAACCGGACCCGCCCGTGCTGCTGCTGTCATCAGCATTGCTACTAGTTACACGTGACGATAAAGCAGGGTCGCTGCGTATGTCTGAAAAGCTGCCGAAACAAGGAAACGCTGTAACTCCGGTTCATGAATCGAATCCGCGTGCAGAGGGTTCGACCCGACTCGACTATCACTCGAGATCTCGAGATTGCCCCTTACGCCACGGCTTTAGGGCGACGGTTTGCAATAGAAAGCAAGCCCCGTTTACGATATGCACGAAAGCAGCTGCAATTTCCCTACTCTAAACCCCCCCTCATCTTTGCTGCAAATGAGCAACTCTACGTAAGTAGCTAGACTAGCTAGAACCCCCGCCCTACTCTAAACCGTACACATTTTATTACGATTATTATTATTATCATTATCGATCAATCCGTGGTGTTTTTTCTTTTGATCTGCATGCAGACACCAGCAATATTGAAGCAGTATATTGAAGAGCAAGATTCCGTCAACAAATGACCCGCACTTGGCTGTGGCAAATCTTGTTCTTGAAGATCCAGAGGAGGAAGAATCTAGGCCCTCTGCAGATCCAGTCAATCTACCGCATGTACAGCAGAGAGAACAAAAGAGGAAGAAAAAGAGGCTGATGTTTATTCTTTTCTTTGTCATGATGTCAGTTGTGGCAGCAGTCATTGTGACAGCTGTGGCAGGAACTCAAAAGAAGGAGCCAGAGGTGATTGTCTCCCTATCAACAGATGCTCCGACCGCTTATGGGTCCATGACTCCTTCTGAAATACCATCCTCTGCCCCCACTGGGGTTCTGGACTTGCTTTTCGATAGTCTCCCAGACTACACTTTGGCCAGCATCAACAATGGCAGTGATACCCCGCAATGGAGAGCATGGCAATGGCTAGCCAATCACCAAAATATCACAAGCTTGCCTGAATGGAGAAAGACACAGCTCTTTGCCCTTGCTACTTTTTTCTATGCCTTTGAGGGAGACAATTGGAATCCTTTAATAAAAGGTCATGGATGAAAGGATGACACACAGGAAGAGTGTGACTGGTTCTCCAGTGGGTTCGGATATTTCGTGCTGGGAAGATACTCAGAGCAGAAGGACACAATAGCTCCATGCAATGAACTTGGACAATTTACCTCACTGGACCTTGAAGCCCTCCAGCTCTCTGGTTTTCCCCATCATTGCCACCTGAGATTACCCTCCTTACTTCCTTGTCCAGGCTTCATCTGGTTAACAGCGAGTTTGCAAGACAGTTCTCGTCCATTTTCCCAGCAGAATTTCCCAAACTGACTACTTTGAAATCTTTTGGGTTGTCTGGGAATCTGCTGTTGGGCCCAGTTCCTTCTGAGTTGAGACTGCTGACCTCATTGGACAATCTTGACCTCTCTTACAATCAGTTTACAGGCCCAATCCCTTCTGAGCTTGGCCTCCTGACCTCAATGGAGAGGCTTCGCATTGATCAAAATCAGTTGACTCATTTGATTCCTTCTGAACTTGGTGCATTTACTGCTTTGAATACTCTGTGGTTGAATGACAATCGGTTAACTGGCCCAATTCCTTCGGAGCTTTGGCTCTTGAGGTCGCTGTTGGAGCATCAACGCCCTGTCAATCAGTTTGACAGCATACGCCCAACTGAAACTGGCATGACGACACATTCGGCATGTCTGAGTCTGCACAACAAGAACCTGACGGGAACAATGCCCAGCCAACTGAATGCACCTAAGATTTTGAGGCTATAGGGGAATCAGTTCTCGGGAACAGTCCCAGGGCATCTTTGTTCTTTGCTGCGGTGTGATTGTTCCCCAAATGAAACTCCTCCTGTTGCCACCTGTGGTGACCTCAATGAAGCCCCACATGATTGGCCTGGACGGTTTCCAACCACTGGTGCCGATATCATTCTCAATATCCAAACCAAAGGATTTCCGGAGGAAACATCGTGGGTTTGGCAGAAGGAAACCAATTTGACTGGTGTTTGGGACACACTGGAATCAGGTGGTCCACTGGAGTATAAGTTTAATCTTTTCTCCTCTCTCTTCCATGTTAACACTGACACAGCCTACAGATTGATTGTATCTGATAGTGTTGATGATGGCGTGCCCTCTGGTTGGATTGCTCTGACAGCCACCAACCAAACAGTGTTGTATTCTTTGGTAGCTGGGGAGGCCTTCTCTGAAGTCACCATTGACGTTTTGGTTGGAGCAGATGAATCTTTTGATGTCACCAATTCTAAACTCTGTAGTCTATGCTACACATTTCTAGGGTTAACATCTATGCATGTCAAAGTAAATACGACTGTACATAGCGACATAACTTGACGAGTCAGCAAGGTCCTGAAGCATGACTGAAATCCTTTTTGATAGTTTCTCAAATGAGAAAGTAATAAGCTCATTTTTCGAAAATGAGAAACTATCTTTGAAATGAGAAACTATACTAATAGTAAACGTGCGGCAGAAGTGATCAACCATTTTCTCAAATGAGAAACAAAACTGTTAGTTTTGAACTAGAAATGAGAAAATGAAACTAAAAATGAGAAACTAAAACTGTTTGAAAAATTTCAAAACTTCAATAAGTCAGCGGGAGCTGCGATACCTCGGCAGAAAGACAAATAGAAGAAAGAGGATCGTGTTTGAGATTACATCCTTCTTTCAAGGTAGCCCTGGCGACAACACCCGACTTCGTCGTGTGTTGCCGCCTGGTATCATTCCCTCATTATAACTTTCTTTTTTATTTAAGCTAGCCCTGGCGACAACACCCGAATTCGTCGTGTGTTGCCGCCCACTATCATTCCCTCATTGTAACCTTCTGTTTTATATTAAGCTAGCATTGGCGTTGCCACGGGCTAACCCATAATTTGCAACTATCATTCGATCGTGTAACTCTAAATTTACAACACCTGCTGGCTTATTGTGTTTTTGTCCTGATGTGCACTAACCTTCATTGATATATTCCTACCCCTAACTTTTATTGAACCTTCAATTTCCAGTTTTGCCAGCTTACATTATCTCTATCCTTATACCCTGGCTTCACCGGAATAGGGGATCCCACAGACAGGAAATGAGGGGGATCCCACAGACACAAAATGAGGGGATCCCACAGACAAAAACCAGGGGGATCCCACAGACAGATTATTTGCCATTTAAGTCAGCGGGAGCTGCAATACCTCGGCAGAAAGACAAATAGAAGAAAGAGGATCGTGTTTGAGATTGCATCCTTCTTTCAAGGTAGCCCTGGCGACAACACCCGACTTCGTCGTGTGTTGCCGCCTGGTATCATTCCCTCATTATAACCTTCTTTTTATTTAAGCTAGCCCTGGCGACAACACCCGACTTCGTCGTGTGTTGCCGCCCACTATCATTCCCTCATTGTAACCTTCTGTTTTATATTAAGCTAGCATTGGCGTTGCCACGGGCTAACCCATAATTTACAACTATCATTCGATCGTGTAACTCTAAATTTACAACACCTGCTGGCTTATTGTGTTTTTGTCCTGAGTGCACTAACCTTAAATTACATTGATATATTCCTACCCCTAACTTTTATTGAACCTTCAATTTCCAGTTTTGCCATTATCTCTATCTTATACCCTGGCTTCACCGGAATAGGGGATCCCACAGACACAAAATGAGGGGATCCCACAGACAAAAACCAGGGGGATCCCACAGACAGATTATTTGCCATTAAAGGGGTAGAGGACTCAGGCAGTTAACCTGCCGAGGTAAAGGGGTAGAGGACTCAGGCAGTTAACCTGCCGAGGTAATGGTTTCTGGACCTTGCAGGCCTCAGGCTGGTGGCAGTCGAAGAAAGGGGTCGCAACATCCCCTTGGCCAAACAATCTTTCATTCTCGTCCTTTGCGAGATCAAAAATCTAGAAACTGCGGATATTTCTCCCTCAATTGGTTGACTTTCGCAGTTGCACCCCAGGCATGGTAGCATTCTACAGCATCTTTCATCCGAAAGGCGGCTCCAGCATCATCATTGCGTTCCATCAAGAACAAAGCATGTCGTTCACTGACAATAGCAGCATCTTGGATGTAGCCGCCACGAGTGGCACTGCGTCCAGCAGCGCTGTAGAGATCGTTGACATTTTTGCCACCATCAAGTGCTGCCCGCTCAGCGTTCAATAGCTCCAAGTGGTGGAGCACATTGACGCTACCCTTCTTGACCAGCGTCTTGACCACTTTATGGGAGGCCTTGGCTGCGCGCCTGAACGTGCGCCGTTGGCTCTTGCTGTGGCAAGAGTTCATCGCGGCATAGAAAGACAAAGCTCTAAGGAAATGATCACATGGTCCCATGGGACCCATCGTTTTGACCTTGGCCCTCTCAAGTGCAAGTTCTGCCCCGAGTTCGTAGTTGCCAAAGACAACGCAAACAAAATGCTTCAGGATATGAAAGACAGTGTGAGTCGTAGGTACAGCACCAACCATATCCTCTTCTTTCATGGCATCGCCTGTGAGGACACATGGGTCCTTTGCATTTTGAGTCAGGTTCATAATGGCTTGCCAAATTGATCGGATCATCCAGGCATAGTCATTGCTTGCATGCAAAGCCTCACATTGGGGAAGATAGGTATTGATATCTTCCAAAACGGAGCCCAGCTTTTGACCACTGGTGAATGATACTTCAATCGTAAACACTGCGGGTTCAAAAGAATGAGGAATGATTCGACCTGTCATGAACCAACACATGCTCGTTCCACTGGAACGTGCCAACACACGCAAAAGCCCACTCAAGGTCTCCCACTGCCATTCCTTTCTCGTACCCCTCTTCCAAGAACTTTTGCTGGCTTCGTGAGGGTTGTCTCCAATTGATAATCAAACCACGAGAGACAGCAATTGCAGCAGCTTCTTGTGAGGACTCTTGTAGGTGCTCATTCATTTTGCAAGCCAGTGAGGCAAAGTGCACCCCCATCTCCCAGTTCCCCAGCACGTGCATGGCGATGAGGCCACATGACGCAAATGCTGTTTGAGAGTGATCTGCCAAGTAGTACATGGTTGTTGTAAACAGCAACCACAACGGCATTGCCTTGGTGTGATAAGCGAACGTGGCAGCTCCAGCCAACAGCTTCATGACTGCCTTCTGAACTGGGTCTGTCATCAACGGCATCAGAGCGAGTCCCTCGAGAGTGGGTGTTTTCTTTTTCATTTGCCTTTTGAAACGCAGCAGAGACTTGATGGCAGCTCGTATCTGCGATCCTTTTCCCAGTGGAATTTTGCATCCCAACATGTTGAGAACTTCGACAGTGAGCATCATGGCTTCATCGATTTTGCTGGTTCTGGCAAGGGCATGGATCTCTGCGTTGTAACACGGGATTTTGTCCAACATGGAGCACTGGGGGTGTTTCAACACAATCTGGCAACTTTGGTGCATGGTGTCAAAGTCGCCCGTGTTGCTCGCAGCTTGGGCTTGCATGGAATACAGGTCCACGGCCAGGTCCTTATGATACAACCAACAATCGTTCTCGGGTAGGTTTTCGATGCCCGCTTGTGCATAGTTTCCCTGGAGCTTGAACGCTGACAACGCGTTGGCCTTTTTGGCGGCCCTCAGATTGAGTTTGGCAAGCTCCAATCCCAAATCTGATGCGCCACAATTGAGTAGATCGGTAACCACAAAGAGTGATTCTTCAAAGTCCTCGTCGTCCAAACATTTGTAGAGAGATCGACCCACGGATTGTTTTCGCTTGAGTAGTTCTTCTTGGCTATCCAATGCTGTGACCGTTTCCTGAACCTTATCATGGACCCATCGCAAACACCCTTCATCGGCACGTTCCAAAAAGTGCTCTTGTATGGCTCCTTCCAGGAGTTTCTTGAACCACTGGTCCTTGGCCCTGGTCTCATTATCCTCCACTTGGGACGACGACGACGTGGCCCACACCAAGAACAATGCAGATGCGTGGAATTCGGTTCCCAAACAGCATGCCAACTGCAGCAGTAAAACCAAGTCGGGCGAGAGTGCCTTGATTTTGTTCGTGAGCAGTTCGACAACATTGGATGTGGCGGCTGTTTTGGATAGAATGGTATCGATGTCCCACTTCCATGTGAACGTCCCGTAGTTGAATGTCAATAGCTTGTCCTTTTCCAGCATGCGAATAAAGACGAGCAGGAAAAATGCATTCCCCATGGTGCGAGCATGACAGAGCTTGGCCAATGGCAATGTCTTGTCGGCATCATCCTCCGAGTCTAGCAGTCTCATGAGAATCTGGTTTACCTGATCCTCCTCGAGACTGTTGCAGTCTAGTTCATGAATCTCCACTTTTGTGTCAAATTCTTGCTGCTTGAGTTCTCGTACCATTTGTGACAAAATGTGGGTATCGTCCACTTCATTGGATCGATAACATCCCACCAGGAGCAAGTTTGGATTGTGGGTATCCAACGTGAGTCCTTTGATAAAGCCAATGGTTTGCGAGTCTGCCCACTGCGTAAAATAAAGGAGAAGGCAAAAGCAAGAGCGGAAGATGATTGGTAAGAGACATATAGAGGTTGCGGGCCTTTGGTTGCGATAACGTTTCATTCGTTCAATACGGTACATACCTGAAGGTCATCGATGACAAGAACCAGAGGAGCCAGATTGGCACTAACAATGCGCAAGAATTTGCGAAAGGCACTCTCCAGCAAATCTCGATTCTCTCCTCCTCCTCCTCCTTGTTGTGCATAGGTGTTGCTGTTGTTTGTACCAGGCTCATTGCTGGATTGTGATTTTTGTGGGGACACAAAACAGGATCCTAGACTGGGGACCGCGTGCACCAGCAGCTGTATTTCAAAGGCCCCTAGCTGACTCTGCAACTGCTCTGGAATGAGTTGGTGTTCCACTATTTGGTGATTGGTGGCCAAGTCATGACAGGCCGTAATGATGGTACTGTAGGGTTGGTCACTGCGATCTCTACTGAATTTGCTCATGACAAAGACTTTTGCTTTGGTCGTCAGTGCTGTCTGCGCCAACGCCGACTTGCCCGACCCTGACACTCCCTGAATGAGCACAAGTTGATTTACGGTACGTGCAGTAGTATCCAGCAAGCATTGTTGTAACACGGCTGTCTCGTGGTCGCGACCTACCAACCCCAGTCCTTCAAAGCGTAACTTGTCCATGGTAAACGATGCTCGTGGAAATGCCGTCAATCGGCGTTCCAAACTGGTGGCCATGACCCGTAGTTCCATGGTCGAACTGGGCTTGCGTCGGGCAAACGAACCATAGTCGGCTTGGGCCGTGTTGGAGGAGTGGCGAAGGTCCACCTTGCCAGGGGCACGGTTGGTGCTGTTGCCATGGTGGCGGCTCTTGCGGACCAGAGTAGAGCGCTTCATCGTGTCGCTAACTCACGCACGAACTGTCTGTACTAATAGCTTGAGGGTGGGGTGGATGTTGTGATCTGAAACGGATGTATCGATAGCTTGGTCCAGCTCTTGGCATTTTGCGCACTGCAGGAAGAAACAAGCTTCCAAAAGTGTTGATTTTTTTTCTTTTTCAACACAACTGAAGCCTTTCGGGAAACTGAAGCCTTCCGGGAAACTGAAGCCTTTCGGGAAACAGGTAGTCTATGATACCGGTACTCCAGAAGTCAGTGTTGATTTTAATTAAAAAGATCAACACTGTTAAAACAGCTGTTGACCGGTATACCCGTGCAGCTCCGGTACCATGTACCGGAGCTGTCCGGTACCAATACATACATGTACCGATACTGCTGTTGCTTCGCATCGCACTACTAGTAAGCCACTTGTTCTTTGCTGCATGATTGGATATCTTTTTAATGAAAAGGACTTATTGTACCATTCGTTTAGTGGGTTCCGAAGAAGAGAAGAGCAAATTACTAGTAGCTGGCAAATTTATTTTAACAGTACTAACACTTTCATTGATGAGGTGTTCCTCATGCCAGGGCTTTCCGTTCTATTGGTTCACTTGTGTGCACTTTCAGTACTCATGGTGTAATGGCAATCATTACAACAATAAATTACAACGATTGATATGGGATAATTCAATCAAATTCAATAACCTTTTACCAAACTGGTTCATTATGATCATATTCAGCACATGAAGGGAAAGATAGGTCCCAGAGTTCGAAACCAGTGTCGCCCCAGTGAAACCCCAGAAGTAGCCACCAGTGAAGAACCATGAGCCAATGATGCCAAGAGTGAAGCTAGGGAGAGATGAAAGCTAGGAGGTGGAGCTAGGAGCATGTTGTGAGGACCTGGGACTGCGCGCGTTTCACTGCCCTTAGAATTCTCTTGAATCATGGGAGCAGAATGTAACGGCAATCATTACAACAATAAATTACAACGATTGATATGGGATAATTCAATCAAATTCAATAACCTTTTACCAAACTGGTTCACATGGACAGTGGACAGGAACCTCCGACCACTGTCCAACTCTACTGGTGGTTAAATAATGAGCTTTTCATATACCAGTAGATGTACCGGTACGGTCTGCATACAAAACTCCCCCCCATCCCACACTCGCGTTGCTTGCACAATCCGCTACACCGCTACCCTAACCATTTCATGCTTGACGATTTGGAAGAATGATGAATGCTGGAGCTGCATTTCGATGAATATACCGGCCGGCAAAGCAATTCACCTTGGACGCTAAATGTAGCAGATCCTAGCTAGCTAGCTGCTGGCGTGAAGCCGAATAACCACGAAACACGCTCGGCAGCCAAGCTCGCCCGGGGATGCGCATCCAACAGCACTTCGCATCTGAAAGCAGAAAGCATGCATCAGTTGCGGAACCGATTGACCTGCACGGATGAACACGGCACCGAGCCACATGCAAAGTGGAACACCCAATGACCGTAAATCCAACGACAGAGACTGCGCAGCGGTCAAGATAGCTATAGCTTTCGCAGTTTCTTCATCGGCGTTGGCAATGATGAAACCAGGACAGGTCGGAGTTGATACAAGAAAGTTTTGACACCGAACCGAAACACACAGGGCGCAACGGAACCAGCATTCGTGTCATGCGGAGGAAGCACAAGCAAGGACGAGGTGCAGTACCGAGTCTTCCCCATCTATATATACCGCTACATGCATCATTCCCTGCATCCAGGTCGCAGTCCTTTCTTTTGCTTGCACAAATGGATAGCGCGCATTGCACTCTGGCTAGCTCCCGTGAGGAATGGTTTGGGAGAGTTTTTCGAGCAAAATGCATGTACAGAGATGGATGGAGGTTATAGATGAATTCAGCAAAAGCACTGCAAAGTTGTGTATAGAGACATGCAACATGGAATTATTGTGAAGTAGACTTGGTGACGCCGAAAGAGCCATCAGCTTGGACTGTGATGTCAATGGTGATTTCAGAGAAATCACTGTCACTGGGATGTGTATAGTCATCACTACTGGCAAAAGGATACAACACCGTTTCGTTTGCTGCTGTCAGAGTTATCAATCCAGAGGATGATATGCCATCACCAAAACTGTCAGATACAATCAATCTGTAGGCTGTGTCGGTGTCGACCAGGAAGAGAGAGGAGTAAAGATAATATTTCCTCTGCAGTGGACCACTTGATTCCTGTGTGTCCCACACACCTGTCACATTTGTTTCTTTCTGCCAAACCCACAATGTTTCTTCTGGATAATAATCAGTTTGGATGTTCAGCATGACAGATCCAGACTTGTTTGGAAATTGTCCAGGCCAATCAGGCCGAGTCTCTGTGCCGTCAGAGCAGGTGGAAACAGGGGGAGTCTCATTCAGGTCACAATCACACCGAAGAATAAAGCAAAGATGCTCTGGGACAGTTCCAGTCAAGCTATTGTTGTACAGAGCCAGTGACTCCAACATTCCAACTTCAGCTGGGATCTGGCCAGATAGCTGATTTCCTGATAGTGAAAGCCCGTATAATGAGGTGAGGAGCCCAAGTTCAGAGGGAATCTGACTGGTCAACCAATTCTCAGAAAGGTCAAGCTCCTCCAATGAGGTCAGCAGCCCAAGCTCAGATGGAATTTGATGGGTCAACTGATTCTCAAAGAGCAAAAGAAGGAACAGTGAGGTCAACATCCCAAGCTCGGAAGGAATTTGACCCGTCAATCGATTCTCAGAAAGTTGAAGCCAGAAAATTGAGGGCAGCAACCCAAGCTCAGAAGGAACATGGCCTGTCAACCAATTCTCAGAAAGCCAAAGCCATCCTAATGAGGTCAGGGTCCCAAGCTCAGAAGGAATTTGACCGGACAACCAATTCTCAGAAAGGTCAAGATCAAGCAATGAGGTCAGCAGCCCAAGTTCAGAAGGAATTTGACTGGTCATCTGATTCGAATGAACGAATAGCGTGTCCAATAAAGTTAGGCGCCCAAGCTCAGAAGGAATTTGCCCGCTCAACCGATTCTCAGAAAGGTCAAGCCTTTCCAATGAGGCCAGGAGCCCAAGCTCGGAAGGCAGTGGACCGGTCATCAAATTCCAAGAAAGGTATAGTTTGTCCAATGAGGTTAGGCGTCCAAGCTCAGAAGGAATTTGGCCGGTCAACGGATTCCCAGAAAGGGAAAGCACAGTCATTGAGGCCAGGAGGCCAAGTTCAGAAGGAATTTGACTGGTCAACTGATTCACAGCAAGGATGAGCTCTTCCAATGAGGTCAGGATCCCAATCTCAGAAGGAATTTGACCCGTCAATTCATTCATGTCCAAGTGAAGTTGGGACAATGAAGTCAATAGTGAAATTTCAGAGGGAATTTTACCAGTGAACCGATTTCCTGCCAAACTCAATTGTGTCAATCCAGTCATCTCATAAAGTTCTGTTGGCAACAGAGATGAAATTGGTCCAGCAATGTCATTGCTCCACAAGTCTATAAGAGACAAGGAAGTCAAGAGCGCAATCTCAGGTGGCAAAGATGGAAGACGACCAGAGAGCTGAAGGTCCTGCAGATGCAGAGAGGTGAATTGCCCTTGGCGGTTGCAGGGAAGTGTACCAAAGGCTGGATTATCAAAGTATCTTCCATATTCAAACCATCCAAACCCACTGGAGAACCAGTCACACTCTTCGACTGTGTCATCCATCCAGCGATCTTTTATCAGAGGATTCCAATGGTCTCCCTCAAAGGCATAGAAAAAAGTAGCAAGGGCAAAGAGCTGCATCTTCCTCCATTCTGGTAAGCTTGTGATGTTTTGGTGATTGGCCATCCATTGCCATGCTCTCCACTGCGGGGTCTCACTGCCATTGTTAATGCTGACCAAAGTGTAGTCAGGGAGACTATCAAATAGCAAGTCTAGAACCCCAGTGGGGGAAGAGGATGGTACTTCCGATGGAGTCATGGACAGATCATATGACGGGGCATCTGTTGGAATGGCTTGAGGCTTGGGCGCGAGTCCGACACCCAAACTGATGGCAACAATAACAAGGGAACCAAAGATGATGGCGTAGCCGATTCTTCGACACTGTCTCTCCTTTTTCTCTTTGAACGCTTGTTTTTCTAGTACTCCCACATCTACTTCTTGGGCTTCCTGCATCCGGGCTCCTTCTTCTGTAACTTCTCTTGCTTCCACCAGTCCATGGGTTGTGTCCTCATGTGGTGGTGAAAGAGGTGGATGTACGATATCCTGCTCTTGATTTTCCACGTCATGGCGACAACGATCCGCAGCAGGCCCTGCTGCAGAAGTTCTGCTGTTCTTGCGCAACCCACGCAAACTTGTCCTTGCCATCACACCACCATGTGCTGTTGTTGGCTGTGTGCCCCCACCAGATAAGCTCTTTCTCTGCAACCCTCTTGTGTTGGCTTTGTCGACCCTGGCATTATTACTATTGCTTTTCCTACTAGATTCTGCTGCTGTTGTGCTGCTGCTGCGGTCTACTACTAGTAGTTGTGGTGTCATACACATTGCCCGTTTGGCTTGCTGCTCCTCTTGGGATCGTCGTAGCCCATGACATTCCATGACATTGGTACTACTATTGTTCTGTCTTATTGCGGAGCGTAGTAGTATAGTGGAAGTGGTGGCACTGGATCTTGGCGAATGTTGTTTGCCCCGTGTGGCATTCAGCTTCTCCGCCAGGTCGTCCCGAGTGCGGGATAATCCCTTGTTGGATGATGCACGTTCCGACGTTTCTTCTACATTACGGTATGCTCCAGGACGAGCAGAATGGTGAGATGATGCTGTTTGATGATTCGTTGCACTAGTAGCGGTAGCTGCGGCAGTTGAAACGGTGGTTTTCGTTCCTCCTTGTTCTTTGCCGTCGGCTGCCTTGTGTTTTGACAGATCTCCTTTATTGGTGTGTCCCTGCTTGTTGTTGTTGTTGTTGTTGTTTGGTAGGAACACCAAATGACCGCCGCCTTCCAACCATGTTTCGGCGGCTGTCAGAGCAATGAAAGCTGAATCCACGTTGTTGTTGTTGTTATGATCACTCATTATGTTGTTGTCCTGGTAGATGATGGAATCATCAGCTTTCTCTTTGACTATTTCTGGTACCACCCCCGTGTTTGTTGTTTGAGCAGCCATCACGAGTTGACTACTGTTCGACATTGCGACAGGACGATGCTTGGCACTACCAATCTCAGTGATTGCTTGCGTTATCTCCGTCGCTAGTGCTAGCTTTGAGCGGCTCCTTGCTTGAGCGGCTCCTTGCTTCAGCGGCGGGCTTCGTGGTGTGGAATCGAATGCAGAGGAAAACTGCAAAATTCAAGTGGCCCTCCGCCGCCCTCTGGTACCACCACATGAGCCATTTTCTGCAGGGAACCTCAAAGAGTTTCTTTTGAAAAAGTGACAGTAGGAGGGTTAAATAATGAGGGGAAATGCGGGAGAATGGGTTCCGTGTCGGGACAAGATGATGCAAGATGCAAGGGCAGGCAGAGAGGACGAAGCCTGCGTTCTTTTTTTATGTTGGTTGGTGTTGGGAGTGTGCCAAAGAGCTGCCAAAGATCCAAGAAAGAAATCTGTGTGTTGCTTGAGGATTTAAAAGGTCAGTTCTTTTCGAAAGGAAAGTATTTAAACACCTTGTGCACCTTGACCTCTTGAATAAATAATACTGGTAGCATAGGTGTTGAAGGTTGAAGAAAACAAAAAAGTGTTGGTTAATCAGCAAGTAAGACTTATTATTAATAATAGTGTTGGAGTGTTGGTTCTTTTCTGAGTTTCAGCAACTAACTACAAAAATTTAATTCACTGCAAGACTGCAAGTATCTGCGGAAGCCTTAGAGGGCGAGGCTTAAGCAAACACGAGTTAAAGGAGTGTGTTTCAGCGTTTGACCTCTTGAATAAATAATAATACAGTCAGTGTTGAAGAAGCGAAAAAGTGTTGATTATTTTTTTTTTAAATAATTATGGAGGTGTTGGCTGACTCTGTTTCGGCAACTACAGCTGAATTTACTTCAAGCAGTACAGGTGATTCACTTCACTGTTTCGACCCCTGTTGACAACGCGGCTTAATTAACCCGCTACCGGTACCAGGTTCCATACTCCGGAGTGCGCTAAAAGCTAAAAGTGTTGACCACCTCATCACTGTGCAAACTTCACACCATTCCCTTCCACCCTTATTACAAGCTCCTAAGCATCACTTTCAGCTTTCAGCCATTGCAGTTCCTGCAGCTATCATTGTACCGTACCTTTTCCTGAGAGATGAGGCTTTGAGTGTTCTTGCCGTCCTGGCCGACTTACTTGGAAGCTTCGTACAAAGGGGTTATCGAGCAGGTAATTTTCAAGAGCAATGTATGGTACCAGATACCAGTGGCTAGCTAGCGGCAGATTCTGGCATCAAGATGGGTGGGCATGTCCGGCTGTCTTGTGTCTATCACATGATTGAATTCCTACCATAGGAGACTAACTAAAAGGAATCCAATAAAAATCGGGCTCATAGAGTGAGTAGACGAGCGCTGTAGTGTATCCATTGAAGGTCTCCCTCTTTCCTTATATAGTTCGACGTGCACGTGTAGCTCAGTAGAGGCAGGCAGCAAGTGCAACTGGAGCAACCAGACACCTCCCCCATGTCCACACGCAACGGGTCCATGGGAAGCAGGGTGCCATTTTCAATGCCTTGGCAAAGAAAGCTCACGTGTCCAGTGAGCAATGTAGTCTGCAAGTACAAGCGTGTCAAAGCAGTCAGGTGAAGAAAGTCCATTGGCACAGTACCAGTAATGGCATTTAGGCTCAGCGATAGCCGAGTCATTCCTGTGAGGAAGCCAATCTCCGAGGAAAATCTACCACTGAAGTGGTTGGATGCAACTTGAAGAGCAGTCAGGGCTGGAAGTTCAACTGGAAGCGTGCCCTCGAGGTTGTTGTTGCGAAGATCCAAATGGGTAATGTGAGCTGCAGTCGTTGTGATATCCTCGCGAAGTTTGTCATCGTCATCGTCTCCTCCTCCACATTGAAGCGCACCAGACCAATCGCATTCCGGTTCTGCCGACAGAAACTCGAACGAAATGGTCCAGGGCATACCGGTACGGCTGAACGATGCGATCATGGATTGTAGGCTCTGACAATGATAACTTGCGGTTGTCTCCTCCAAACACTGCATCTCCAACACGAGCATGCTGCTCCGCATTTGTTTCAAACTCGTCCAATGCCGGGCGCGTCACAGCCTCGGTTTGAGGGTCGAACCGGGCAATCCAATTCAGTGCTCGAGCTTGAGGCGACGATTCTGCGCGAAAGACATCCTGCAGAATGTCTCTTCCACTGCTGGTGTTATAGTTGACATTGTAAAAGGGCTCGAATCGTTGGTTCACCAGCTCTTGAATCAGCCGAAAACGCGTCTCGACATCGTAAGGTTCTGGCAAAGCTTCCTCCGAGTCGGACAGACTCGACGAGTTTCGACTCAAGGCAATGGTCAAGATGAGTACCAGCGCCACGACGATGGCGCATACCAAACATGTAGGCAATGGTCTGGTACAGCTTGGATCGTCCTCTGTCAATGGAAAGAGGCTCCGCCTTGACCGTCATGATATCATCCACTCGGATAGCTTCCAAGGCTTCACCAGCATTGTCGTTCGTTGTCTTCGTGTGTGTGAAGAAAAAGACCTCGTCAGATCTTGCTTCGTCCACATCCGACGTCAAATGCATTGTTCAAGCCTGAATCATCATCGCCCAATGTCAAGCCAGTTGACGAATTGCTACCAGTGGTCCCACTACTCGGCATGACCGAATACGCTCCGGGGTGACTATGGATGCTGTTCGCGTACCAGCTCATGCCGTTCCGAAATAGCTGTGTCTTTGGCAGTACCACCGTGAACTTCGTGGTGTCCAGCGTCGGAGTGGCATCTTGGAGAGGGGCGGCAATCGCTGCAAGTCGAGTCCCCGTGGACAAAGCAGGAGAGGAGGTCAGGGTGGTCAGGGTGGCACCGTTGGGTGTCTTTGGATTCCTTATGCGCTTCCTTAGGGTTAAGGTGCATGGCGCGGAACTGACTGGCCACGTTTCCTCCCCGCTTTGTTCTTTAAAACTTGAAAGTCCCGTCCACCAATTATTTCTTCTCCATCCAATGACTTCTATCTTGATGGCAGAACCAGCAGAAGAAGTAGAGGGCAAGATGGAAGAGTCGGCAGTCGACCAGAACGAGGAAGCTCCGCTTGCTGCGACCGGCAGCAGCAGCAGTCCAGATGAGGGGATCCGTCGGTCCGGAAGAAAGCGAGCTTCGACCATTATGATCATCAACGGCCACGCCGTGAAGAGAGCCAACAACTATGTCCTCAAGGGAGGTACCTATTCGCATGGAGTCTACACTGAGGATGAACAGAAAAAAGCTGCTGCGTCCTCCAAAAAGCCCAAGAAACAAGGAGGTCCTCGCACGACGGAAGCTCGCAAGGTTTCGGCATCGGAAACGGCTCGCGTGGATTTTAACAACAATGTCAAAAAGAGCGTCCAATCCAAGGAACCTCTTCGACGGGACTTTTTAGTCAGAAACAGAGAGTTGATAGAACCGTTCATGGACGAAAACACAAAGAGAATGGTGGACAACTGGGGGCAACAAAAGAAACCAGCCAAGAAATTCGAAAAGCATGAGCTGTTTGCGCAGCCAGAGTTAGTGGAAGGTGGAGAAATGAGAGACTATCAGCTTGCCGGCCTCAACTTTATGGTGGAAATGCACCAACAGAATCTGGGAATGATTTTGGGAGATGAAATGGGTCTGTAAGTGTCAATTCTTTAACTGTTGTCCGTTGTATGAAGAGCACTGCAGTGGATCAGTGAACTTTGTTTCTTCTATTTACTTTTGGCCTAACCTCATTTTCTTTTTTACTCGCTCTGCAGAGGAAAGACATTACAAACCATCTCTCTCTTATGCTATTTGAAAGAGCATCTAGGACAGAGTGGGCCAAGTTTGGTTGTTTGCCCACTATCTGTTTTGTATTCATGGTGCTCTGAGGCTCAAAAATGGGCCCCTTCCCTCAAGGTGCTGCGACTACATGCCACCAATAGTGAGGATCAAGCCAATCAACGAAGAGAACTTGTGGAACATGCGACCGAATATGATCTGGTGGTACGTACAACTATTTCTCAAAGAATCTGGAGAGTCGTTCTTGGTCGATTGTAATCACGCTTATACTCCGACTCTGCCACTCCCTGCATAATTCCCAGGTGACGACCTACGAAATGATCAAGGTCCAGCAGTTGCAATTCATGTTTAACCGCATCCACTTTCGATACCTTGTGCTTGATGAAGGGCATAAGATAAAGTCCGGCTTGACACTCGTTGCCCAAGCAGTCCGACGGCTGCACTGTGAGAATCGTCTTCTCTTGACTGGAACACCTCTGCAGGTAAGTTCGGCGAAATCATCATGCAGGTACCAGGCAAAGTGTACTCGCAAAAGATGGCTATACGAATGTCATGCACTTGCTCGCTCAGACTGATTCATTGCTGGGCTGCTCGTTCTACAGAACAATTTATCCGAGCTGGTACAGTTGCTCAATTTTCTGCTCCCAGATATCTTTAACAATTTTGAGCCCTTTGAAAATGCATTTGACATTACAAACAATGTGATTGACAAAGAAAAAATGATGCAAGCCCAAAAAGTCTTGGGCTTGTTCATGATTCGCCGTCTAAAGAATCAGGTGGAAAAACTCATGCCCAAGAAAATCGAAACAAAGGTTAGTCAGTTGTACTGTATCCTTTGAAGCGCATCGCTATCGTCCTTTCCACTTGTTCTGACCCCACTCGTGGTTGAATGGTTAAATGGTTGGTAGGTGTATTGCCCGCTCTCTCGGAATCAGATCTTTTGGTACAAGGCCATCCTGATGAAGGATCTTAGTTACTTGGAGAGACACGACAATAAAGACGGCACAGTGGGCGCCACGGCGGCGCAAAAATTGGCGGGCCTCTTTATGCAACTGCGAAAAGCTTGTCTGCATCCTTTTCTCTTTGATGGAGCAGAACCAGATATTGGAGCGACAACGCTGGAACAACTCATTGGTGCCTCTGGTAAACTGTCCGTCTTGGACTCGTTGTTGCAAAGTCTATTTAAAAAGGGACACCGCTGTGTCATCTTCTCACAATTCACAAGCATGCTTGACATCCTCACCGACTATTGTTCCATGCGAGGTTGGCGACACCACCTCTTCGATGGAAGAACGTCCCGTGCGAGAAGAAACTATTTTGTCAACGCATTCAATGCAAAAAACAGCGATGTCTTTCTGTTCTTGATGTCCACCCGCAGTGGTTCAATGGGCCTCAATCTCCAAACAGCCGACACAGTGATCCTCTTTGATTCTGACTTCAATCCACAGATGGACATTCAGGCTCAGGCGCGTGTTCACCGCATTGGGCAAAAGAAGACAGTTCATGTCTACAGGTTGGTTGCTGGTGGAACCGTGGAAGAAAGGCTTGTGGAGCGAGCAGAGAAGAAGCTACTCCTTGATCAAATGGTGAATCGCGATCGGCCTGCAGGCGGGGCGCCAGACCCCAACGAAAAAGAAAGCTTTTCTGGGAGTGAAATGCTGAAGGATATCAAGTTCGGGAGTGCCGCAGTTTTTGGCGATTCCTCCCTCAATAGCTTGCCTGCTGCGAAGGATATCGAGTTCATCACGGACCGCAAGCGTTCCGAAGTGGATTCGGATGGCAAGCTGAAGGGCAATGTTTTTCACAAAGGAGACACTTTTGATGTTACAAAGGAGCTCTCCGCTAGTCAAACGTTCCAGGGTATTGATTTCAAGAAACTTCGACAAGTCCAGAAAGGCAAAGGCGAGGAGGACATTCCAACTTCTCTACGAGGCATCTCACGAATGTGGGTCGACAACGAAAGCAAGCGAAAGAAAAAGAGTCGTGTTGTGATGGTGAAAGGCAAGAATAGCGGCTATGGCCAAGCAATGGTGCCTGTCTTGGCTTCCAACAACTACGACTTGGAAAACGGGGAGTCATCGGTGTTCGACCGCGAACTTTCCAGCAAAGCCAAGGACAGCTATACGGTCAAAAAGCACAAGAGGGCAAAGGTGCCAGATCACCAAGAATACTGCCAGGTTTGCGGCGATGGTGGAACGATCTACCTTTGTTCTCGTTGCCCCGTTTCTGTCCATCGGCGTTGCTGTGCAACCGTCGACAACATGCAACCGTCATGCCCTCATCACTGGTGCTGTCTTTGTGAAAAACCTGCCCAATTCGTGGGAGGAATCCTTTTCCCATGCCAAGGTAAGTGCAAGAAAGCATGGGCCGCGGACCATGTCTCGCCATGCATATAGCTCATTCCTCCATACCCCATTCTAGCTTGTCCAAACGCGTATTGCGAGGACTGTTTGCCGACTGGGAACCCCGGCTTTCGATACTTGGAGCAATGCGATCGTTTTGAACAAATGGGATTCAACTCTACCAAAACGTCTGTTTACATTCACTGCTCCAACCATTGCGAGGAGTACGCGAAACAAAACCTTGGGTGGAAGGCCCCCAGCACAAAGCGACAAAGTTGCCCAAAGAAAATTGACGTTTCTGCGGAGTTTGGCGGAGAAGAAGAGGGAAGCACTGAAGTGACTCAATCAGCAGCGGCTGCAGTGGCACCCCCTACTGTGTCTACCTTAGAGTCTTCATCTTCTTCTGGCAGCGAATCTGGCGTGCCGGCAACTAGGCCCGGCAGTGCTGCGGATGCTGCGATCGACATCGACTTGTCGCTTGATGACGATGATCAAGGAGGACAAGAATACATGTAGATAGTTGTGCATTGACGTTGCAGGAAGACTTGGTACCGCCACGAAGCGTGCTCTAGCTGGGGAGATGCGAATAACTTTGTCTTCTAGCTGCCAGTTAAAGTATTGGGGTTGATTTTCTCAATGGGTTGATATAGTTGCGTTTAGAATTATTTGTCCGCGATGCTCGAAGTCAGCCAAGCCCCAAGGCTTGCCCGTTGCCTGTCCGCCGTAAAGATTGACGAACAACAACATTGCGTGTCTGTATGCAAGCATGGCTGTGAAGTGTGAACCCCACTCTGTACCGGTACCGGTATGCTCTCGTACATAGCATGCTAGCGTACATGCAAAGGCTCAGAAGACAAAGCATCTGGCCCAGTGCACTGCACATTAATTTCACCCATTTTGTTGCTTCTGCTGATGGCCTCTTTGCTGCTGAAACTACAGCTGTTCTCCAACTGCTCTCCCAGTTTTTTACTGAGAAGTGGTCCAAAATCCTACTGTGGTTCGATCCTGCTTGAGCAGCTATGATGTGCCTCCGTGGTTCTCGAGTCTCGTGTTCGTGCCTGTACGATGATCGAGCAGTCGGAATTGGGACGATGGTGGCCCTCTAGATCTTTATTGCTCGTTGTCCTCTGACGCATTCTCCTTTCCCTGGCCTCCTTTTTTCCCAATGAAGTCAAGATGGCAATTTCTCGTGGAACGAATGTTCGGACACTAGCAAGGTGGGGCTTCTGAATTGCCAATGGCTGAAAAGATCAGTTTCTTTCGGCGGCTCGATTTCGTAGGAGGTCGAACCTCTCTGATTGCATGTCTCCCGCCAGTGGCAGCTCATTGCCCTTTAGATTTCGGTCGCTCATGTTGCTAGCTAGCGCTTCAACGATTGAGCTTGGCATGAGCGATCAAGATGGCAATTTCCTCTACTAGCGTAGCTATTTGAAGACTAACTTATTCTAACCTAGCAATTCCTAGGTGCTGGGTGGCAAGGGTGGGCCCTGCTGCTACAGCATCCCTTGTTCCCCGACCCTCACACACACCGGTGGAGATTAACAAACAAACGAGCCTTTGCGCTCCTGATTGCGTTCTTGAATGTCCTCATGTTCGATCGCGGACTCTCGTTCGCGGACGGATGTTCGGAGACCTTATAAAGTGTCAAAGCTGTATCGTATGCTGTAGGCGCGTTGACGGATTTCTCGGAAGATCGCTCAATCCTCCTGGGTGCCCGAAAGCCGATCATGACGACGATTGAATTGGCTCCTGCTCGATTGAATTTCCTACCGTGCTTGGGTGACAACAAACAACTGCCTGCATCCTTTGGTATGTACATGTACCGGTACAATACAAGACACTGTTTGCGCGATGATGGCTCCGGGACTGGCGGCCATCACGAGCATGTTCGCTACGGTAGTATACACGACCCTTCTTGTGCAACGATTGCAAAGTAAGTGCACAGTGACGAAAAAGAGCATAGGATACGGGGGTCACGTTCTTGGCCTGCAACCAACGCCCCACAAAGTACGAGAAACATAATACCGTATGATAACTATGGTAGCCGAGCGACTTCTATCCAACGTTGGCTGACTTGAAGAAGATTGAAACGCTGCCTGGACTGCGGAACCCCTCCCTGAATCCATTTTCGCCGAATTAGTTGCACATGCATGTATTCAAGTTTCGACAGCAGAAGCAAGAGAATGCGAGACGCAGGAAAAAGTTATATAACTACAGGAGCCATGCACAGAGCAAACTGTGGCAAAACAAAAGAAAGGTCATGGAGAGACTCGAACTCCCACCCACCACTGATAATGATAGTGCTACAGCATGGCTGAGCGAGTTTGAAGTGGCACTCTTTCCAATTGAGCTACACAACCCGATGATTGTGGTGGTGTCCAAATGTTTTATGAAGCATTGAATTATCCACGTCTCACAAGATCCAAACATGCAGCCCGCTCGCTGGTCATTTTTATTCAGGTTTTGGTGAATAGATCGCATTCAATAAGATTCTCAAGTTTCAACAGTTGTTGAGGACCCAAAAAAAGATCTTTCCACCATGTCAACTGCTTCTATCGAGTACGACGACGCCGCCACCTTTGGCATTGTGGGTAACTTCCCCGGCGACGACGAGCTGTTGGCGGAATTGCAATGGTGCGGCGACACCTTTTCCAAAGCGGAAAATCCCAAACCTCCACTGGCCCGACTGGTGACCCTGTTGGACCGTTTGCCGTTGAAAGGACGTAATGCCGTGGTCCGCCGCTATTTGGCCAAGAGTCCTCACCGCGATGCCATTGTCCGAGACTTATTCGAGTATTGTTTTCAGCAAGACGAAGATGAGGATTACGGAGACAAGATGCAAGTGGATGGGGAAGACGACGAGGAACGAGAAGAAGACGAGTTTGTTCTCATTGCCAATCCCACTAGCAGTAGTAGTGGTAGTACGACCGAGGCTGCTGACAGTGCTCCTCCGGCTGCTGTCGCTGCTGCCAAACCACTCAATGGGAATCGCTTTCACATTTTCCAAGTGGTCCTTGTCTTGATGGCCGCGTCGGGTCCTGCCGGAGCCGACCTAAGTCGTCGCTATTTGAACACTACGGCCAGTACCAAGTACCGTCCCAAAATTCTGATTCAAATTGTGGAATCCTTTTCTCCCCAAGACTTTTCCAATGAGGAACTCTGGAAGCACTACCAAGAATCGCCCCGGTCCGTGCAAGATGCCGTTGTCAAGGCGTGTCAACGCAGCAAGGCAAGGCCGTTGTTTCTCCAAATGGTGGACCAAGACCAACGACGTCGCACCGGGGAAACACTCCGCTACCCCGATTTGATGTATTGGTGTCCCAGTGATTACGTCGCCGCGCAGTTGGAACAATTGGTGAACACCCCGGAATTGAATCAATTCCAATTGGCTCATTGGGGCAAACACGGTTCTACCTATTTGGAGTTCTTGCGCCGTCGCATGACTAACTCCGGACCCGATAAACTCAAACGAGGTGGATGGTGGTCCTACTTTTATGGGCGGTTGGACACGGCCAGTATGCAATCCGACCATGTCCGGGCATTGCAGCTAATTCTACAAGAATTTCCCTCGTGCTATATTTTCAAGAGTGTCAATGACAAGGCAACGACCCAGTATTTGCAAGAACTGTCTGCCAAGGGAGGAGACGAAGATGTGGAAAATTTTGTCGATTTGGTCAAACGGTATCATTTGCCACCGGCATTGGTCGAAACCAAGTTGACCAAGAAGGAACGCTTCGAATATGTCGTGGCGGCGTTCAACGACAAGGATTGGGACCGCTTTACCCAAGTCAAGAATCTCTCCACCAAGAAGAAGAAAAAGGGTCGGTCAAACCATTGGGGCGGCCGAGGTGGTCGCGGTGGTCGTGGCGGTCATTTTGGTGGCCGTGGTGGTGGTGGTGGAGACGCGAACGACAACCATTCCGAACTCCTCGTGCCGCGACACAAATTGCCCTACAAGGATACTTTCAAGGCCGTGGGGATGGACGCGTTTTGGGCTCGTCACATCCAGTCCGATAGTAATAATGATTTGCATCAGGACAAGTTTTTTGGGCACTTGGCGCACAAGGACTTGTACCAGCAAGCACCCCTGACGGAACGGGCTTCCATTTTGGAATGTTGGACGGACCTCCATCGTCGCTGCAAACCATCCGATCTGACGGAGGAGCAACGGAAACAATACGGTCGAGGTGGAAATAAGTCCACTTTGGAGTGGATGTGGAAGAGGTGGTATGCGAGTTACGGCATGTTGTACCAAGGCAGTTGTTGGGACTTTGACGGATTGTCGTCGGAAGAACCACGCCAGCACAAAATGCCACAAAAGCAAGTCCAACATGCGCAACTTGTCCTCCAGTTGGCTCTTCAGGCGTTGCAAGAGGAAGGAGTCCCGGTACTAGGTTGTCTTTCGGTGACTCTGGTCCTCAAACCTGTCCGGGAATTGCTGAATAACATTCCTTGTTCCCGTGTGGCGGAGCTCAAAGACGACGATCCCAGGAAGGAAATCATGATGCCATTGATCCAACAAGGTGCCTCCATAATCGTGGACCACGTCTTGCCGCTATTGAGCGGCAGTGTGCAGTTTGATCCTGCCGTGGAAAATACTTACGTAAATCAGGAGTCCTTGAACTTGTTCTCCACAGTCTTGTCCGAGATTGGCAGTCGCTGGCAAACCAACGAGCAAGTCACGACGGCCATCATGTCGTTGGTACTGGATGTGCATCTTCGGGCACAGACCACGCAAACAGCCGAGGGGGCCTCGTTTGTTGTCACGGCGGTGGCTTCTGGTGACAACGACAACAGCGCATCGTCGCCGCCACAGAAAAAGAGCAAAAAGTTTGCCTACTTCAAGGCCGATCTTCACAAGGATGCACAGCGCAAGTGCCGAAGCCTCGCCATGGAGTTCTTGAGACACCAAAAGGATGCTGATGCATTGTACGCGAAGAAAGAGATGATCCAGAAAGTGTGGGACCTTCTCAAAAACGAGCAGGACTCGGCGGCCAAGAAGCAAGACCCCACTGAGTGGCTCCAATCGTGCCAGCAGTACTGCCCCAAGCACTTGCTCGAGGAAGAAAAGCCGTCGCTCATTGCAAAATCCCGAGCCTTTGTCATTACTACCGCCAAAGACAACCACCGATGGAAGGATGCGTTGGCCCCCGTTGCCAAGCAGCTCCAGGAATTTGGATGGCTGGAGCTTGTCTTGGATCTTGACGATGAAGAGATCCCCATGAACGTGAAACACTCGCTGTTGGTGGATCATGCGGGCTTTGCCAACGAGAAGGTCCGACAGAATCTAAAGGATCAAACATACGCGGCCAGCGGTGAAGAACGAGCAGAAGGCCTCAACGAATGGCTTCAGCAGGCGTGCGCCACGGAGCAGATGTCTCTCATCGATGAGGCGTTGGCGTTCGCTGCCGGCCGCGTCAAGAACGAGTCTGGAGCCAACCGAAAGACTGTCTTTGCTTGGTTAGAGAAGAACTTTGCGTCGGACATTGTGGTGCCATCTCTCCACGCCAAAGATTTGGATGTTGCACTTGTGGATCGACTCTGCGCCGCGATTTTGTCCATTCAACAGAACGACCTCAACCGACTGGATTCTGTTGGACGCTACGTTTGCTTCCCAAGGCTCCCACAGCGCATCCTTGGCGCCGTGTTGGCGTTCGACCCCACCAGGGTTTGCCTCGAGCGTCGTCGTCGGTGGATCGATTGTTCCATTCGTTTACACTGGGACCTTGACGTTGCATCCAACGGCGACGAGCGTTCCGCCTACTACTCGTGGCCCATTCCGCAACTGGTCCTGAAAAGTGCGGTATGGATCTCACAGGAGGACCTCGATGTATTGTACCCGCCATCAAAGCCGTCCAGTTCTGTTAGGCTCGCAAAGTTGGGAACACAGCTTGGGCACACGCATCAACTGAGCTGGGTTGTCCGCAAAGGATTTAACAAGGACAACACGTTCGGGCCAGCGCAATGCGTGGGTTTGCTGGTGGAGGCTATCAATTCTGTTTGGCGAGATGAAATTGCTGTGCCAGCTTTGCTCGTGGACGGACGGTTCCGCGAGAACGACCAGCAGATTGCATCGGCCCAGAGGGCCCGCTTGGAAGGGCTCTTCCAGTTGTGCGGAACCGTCTGGGAAGAAGTCGACTTCTTAGCATCGGCCTTCGACAACATCTTCAAAGATATTGAGTCTGCACCCCGTTCTCATGTTGTCGAGGCAAGCGCGCTACTTGACAAAATCATGCAGATTCACGGCGAGAGTTTCGGTTATTACGATGGGGTGACATCCTGCCCTCGCGCCGTGGCCTACTCGCCGCGTCTGGCCAACGCTTGCGACAAGTTGTTCCGGGTTGCTGTAGCTACACAGTGGATCGCAATTTCAGCGCCACGATGGCAAAGCGTATACCTGGAGCGTGGTTCTAGAGTCTGGACTGACGTGGAAGTGGGTGATCGGGCAAAGAACTTTGTTTATAACCACAGCGACGGCTGCGAGCCGGATTGTTGGCGTCTTGTTGTCGACAAGACAGGCCGGATTCAGCGAGAGGCAGAGATGGCCAAGGAGCTCCTTGACATTTCTACCAGTGCGTTGTTCCTTGACTGTGTCCAAAAGGTCCTTTTCACTAGACGTCAGGACGTCCTGGCGCGATACCTGAAGGAAGAGGTCGATCCAAAGGGAGTCTTTCGCGGTTCAGAGGAGCAAAGCTTGAGCGAGAATCTTTTCACCGCCATGGACAATATCGCATTGCTTAGTTGCAACTCGAGCGTCAGCAAGTGGTACGCCAAATTTGCGCTCGACAAAGCTGGCACCAGCAGGGCCGATCTCGAATCGAGAGTGCAAGCAATTCACAAATTCATGAGCTCGCCGTCAACGCAGCATGCAGACGTACTTGCCGCTCTTCAGGGCGACCTGGACGATGCTGTGCGCGAAGCGCTCATCAATCGAGTCTTTTCTTTGGACAGCCCTTGGCATATCTTGGGGCACCTGCTCAGTCGCAAGGCCATTGAAAAGAACGATCAACGAGTAACGGCTGCATTGTTGGGCTATGTTGCCCGCCACGTCCACGTCGACAAGGTTGTCAGGGTTGTTGGTCTTCTTCTTGGTAAACGACGCCGAAAGAAGCTGAGTTTCCAGCTACACAAAGGAGCCATCCGGATGCTGTTTGATGCTGGAACCCCGGAAGCAATGGCTCTTTTGCGGAAGGAATGGGACAATGAGCTATCTGATGGCGTCCGTGCCCTTGTGATCGAGAAATGCATGGAAGCCGTTGTGGCTGGAAAGACCGAGGGTTGGGAGGCCACGGTTCTGTCGCGAGTGGCAACCGACAACTCGTTCGAGGCTGAAGTCAAGTTTGTTTTGCTCGCGCCTCAGCGGTCGAACCGGGCTTACGGGTCTATCGACATCCGGAAGGCCGCCGGTGTCGCAACAGATGAGACCCTGGATCTATATCGACGAAAGCAACCCAACCCAGTTTACGTGAACTCGTCCCCGGTGGCTCGGAAATTGAGTGCCATACTGAAGGAGCTGGAATCGTCGTCGACAGATGAAACCCTGTCATTTCTGGCCAGATTGAAGAAGTTGGCGCTCTCGGATTTGTTTGCATCCGATCCAGTTGATGATCAAGAGGCTTTGGATGACATGTTGCTGTACTTGACCACTCCGCCATCGTCCGAAGATGCGGTCGACCACAAGACGCAAGCAGGCTTTCCTTGTGTTGCGGAAATGTTTGGTGCGGCGGCTACGCGGGTACTGGCCGCGGCTTTGGGCCTGTCTTCGGAGAAAATGGATCTGAAGGATATCAAGGAAAAGTGTGCCCAGCTTGCCGCAGTGATCAAGTTGCGTGGTTGCGTTCGTTCCCAGCTGGACAAGGCGTTGGATTTGCCAGCCCGACACCACCTGCAAAGGACGCTTGTTCTGAATTCCCTCCAGTCCCTGATCCTAGGGGTTCAGGCATACTCTTTGTGCCAAGGAATGGATGCCATGCTAGTGATGGATCCTTTCAAGAAGGACTTTGAGCTGATGTCGAAAGATGCCAGCCTTGTGTCACAAATTTGTTTACCCTTTCTGGGGGGAAGGCTTTGATTTAGAGAAGAATAAAAATCCCCGGCTACAGTTTCCCTTGTTTGTAGTCCTCTTATTAGTGTACATTGTCAACGTGGTTTTAAAAACATGTGGCGTTGATGTTGTGGTTGCAGCACCGGTAGCTAGCTGGTCGGTGAGAGAGAAAACTGAAATCAAAGACTGAGGACTCAAATCATGCCGGATCCAGTGTAATTAAAACCATAATATTATTATTAGTATTGACCCACCGCCAACCGTGCACAAGCGTCGAGATGGGTTCAATTGATGGTCTTCCACTACTAGCTAGTAGTCTATATCTATCAATGGAACTCTTGGCCGTGCAATTCTAGCTATAAAGTAGTTTCAACAGTGTGATTGCAACCTTCCATTAGAACCGAAAGCACGAAGCATCAGAGACAAAGAAAGAAGCCAACAAGAAAATGATAGAAAAACCACGAGTCCGCCGGATAGCAGGAAGAAAAGGCCCTGCGGTTGTCAAAAAATGCTGTGGCAAGATGGTGGAGATTTTGTACACTCAAATTCTGGTGGCCATTGCAGTCTGCGTACTGTTTTCCATCTACAAATCCACTCAAGTGATACTTCCAGACAATCACAAGGTAGAAGCAGATCGTGTGGTTCGATCCAAAGAAGCACAGTTGCGAGAAGCTGCCTTGGAACGGTTGGCACGGGAGGCAGCCGAGTACGAAAACGATGACGAGTACAGTGGTGGTGGTGGGCAAAACAGTCCAAATCAAAACAGCGAAAAGGATTTCAGTGCCCTTGCTGGCAAGGTGCCGAATGGTGTCAATCAACGAAGAAAAGATGGCACAGGCTACATTTTGATGAAAGAAGAAACCGAAGTAAAGACGGCCAATCCAGCCTATGCCGGTTACCTGGTCCAACCTGGCGATTTCATATACCAAAATCTGCCTGGTGAATCAGCTCCCATTGTCATGGAAGATTATCGGCTCATCTTTTTTGCCCAAGCTAAAGTGGGCTGTACGGTTTGGAAGCTCTTGTTTCGACGCATGATGGGCATTGAAAAGTGGAGAAATCAACAAGGGGGACTGCCCCATGTACGACCCAAGAATGGACTCAAGTACTTGGATGATTACAACATTTCCTATGCTTCTCACATTATGCAAAGTCCTCATTGGACGAGGGCCATTTTCCTACGAGATCCCAAGGAGCGATTCCTGAGTGCCTATCTGGACAAGGCTGTCGAATCTACACTCTTTGTTGATACCTGTTGCAATCGCAAACGACAAGTTCATTGCAACCCAGCACCGCCCGCCCTCCATGAATTCATGGCTGCCATTCACAACTGTAAAGACAGTCATTGGGATCCACAAAGTGAACGAATGGAAACCAAATACTGGAAATATTTGAACTTTATTGGGCATTTGGAGACTGTGCAACAAGATGCCAAACGATTGCTACGAAAGATTGGAGCCTGGGAACAATATGGCAAAAATGGATGGGGCAAGAACGAGACGTCGGCCATATTTGAGAGTGCCGATGGAACTCATCATGCCAACAATGCCAAGTCCAAACTGCAGGAGTACTTGTATCCAGAGCTGGAACAAGAAGTGGAGGAATTTTATGAAGACGACTACAACAACAAACTCTTCAACTTCACCATTTCCAAAAAGTACAAGGATGGGGCCATCCGAACCGCTGTGGATCACGCCTCCTTGAATTTGCCCCTTGTCGAACCCAGAGACTGGATTTACCGAAAATCCAAATTTCATGGTGAAGCGTCTCCGATTGTACTGGAAAAGTACAAACTGGTCTTCTTTGCAATCCCTTATGTGGCGGAGAATGAATTCAAACAACTGTTTCGCCGCATGCAGGGATGTGAGGATTGGAAGACACAAAAATATGAAAAGAAGAATCATGATGCAATCAACAAAGGCCTGGTCTTCCTACGAGACTACAACTTGACCAGGGCCAGCGAGATCATGACGGATCCCAACTGGACCAGGGCCATCTTTGTGCGAGACCCAAAGGAACGCTTCGCGCTGGCGTACACCATGACTGCTGTCCGCCAGCGCTCACTTTTGCATCACATTTGCTGCACGGTGATGCCGAGATTGTTTTGCCTCAAAGGCACGAGGACAAAAGACCTCGTGGATGCCCCCAATTCTACCGAGTTCCTGAGAGGGATACACACCTGTAAGAGCACACATTGGGATCCCATGACACAGCGTATGAGTGCCATGAGGAGGATGGGACTTCATGTACTCCAAAAACGAGCATTCGACCATGAGAAACACTTTGTCCATAACAAGTACTGGAACTACATCAACTTTGTGGGAAATGTTGATACAGGTTACCAGGATGCCAAGGCCATGTTGGAACGCCTTGGCGATGGGTTGTGGCAACAGTTTGGGGCATCTGGATGGGCTGAGACTCCCGAGGAGGCGAAAACATTTCATGACTCCTTTTTGAAAACATCTAGCTTCCTCAAGCACGAGCTCAACACCAAGACCAAAGTCTCAAAAGTCATTATCGATCCTGCCATGGAAAGGACCATTGAAGTTTTGTACAACAAAGACTACAACAGTCCATGGTTCAACCTGACAAAGAAGAAGCTATTCTCCTCCATTGGCAGTACATTTCTAAAGGAGGCAGAAATTCTAAGAGAGCAAATGAATGTGATTCGACAGGAAACGAGCAAAAAGGCCAATGCTCGGGAATGGTAGTAGTTTCCCAATGCTCATTGTGATCTGTGAGTGCTACTTTTTCCCGCTAAGGCACAGGTACGATACGAGGTGCCGAACGTGTTGCGGTTGGCATCCTTGCCCTTGAGTTGCATTGCATTGCAGGAAAGAGAAAAAGGCAGACAGGAACGGTAAGTAATGAAGGATGTCTTGCCCGTTGCGGTTCTTCTGGCCGGCCAAGAATGCGACGGTGGGGTCGTGGGGTCGCATCACCAGCGAAATCGAATCCAATGCATCGAACCGAAGCGAAGGGCTGAACCAGCTGGGGGTGGAGAAGTCATTGAGGGCGGGCGAGAGTTCGACGATTGACCCAATGGTTCGCTTATCACCAGCAAGCTGGCCAGTAATGATGGACGGTTGCCCCAGTATGGTATTTAGTTAGCCTAACCAGCCAGGAATAGTCTAACTCGCTAGCTATGCATCTAGCTAGATGGCTGCCTGATGCCTCCGGACGTACTAAAGCTACGGTAGCGGTCGCGTACTAGCTAGAGACCACGGGATCAGCAAAGTCGTCCAAGGACCCAGCCAATGCGTGAATAGTTAGTGGAACATGGCTCGCTTAATAGAGTGATTCGATTGATCATTCATCTTGGGTAACCACGAGTGTAACCAAGAGACGTAACCATCCAAAGGATGAGGTTCAGTAATGGTCCACCGTGGCCCAATGTTTCCACGATCGCCTTGGTCACATGCTTGCCAGTGAGCATTTTTGAGAGAGGAGAACGTGGAGTGAGCACCAAAATCGTCGTGGAAAGACGAAAAAGAGTGAAGTGTCCACTCCGAGCTCCTCCAGCTGGCACTTGACTTCTTCTTCTTCAAGACCTCAAGTGCAATGACTGCATGCGGTGATTACTGGTACACGCGATCAACACTTATTACTCCGAGAAGTTGTGGGACTTTTTTAAAAACTTGTGATGAGTTTTTAACTTAAGAGTTTTGTGGGACTCTTGGCGGTGCCAACAAGGCTTTTATAATAATACTCCGGGGTAGATGCTTCAGTATGCTTTTAACTAAACTGTGTTCCGAGTGATTTAAGAGTGTCTCAGAAAGCTATTGAAGCAAGTATGGACAAGACAGAAGGCATCCGCAAAAAGCCTGTTGCTTGCGAGCTGTGGGCGTCACAAAGCCTGCTTTGAACCTTTTCCACGTTCGAACACCACTTTGTAGCCGGTTATCACAAGAAGGCGCACCGATTTTTATGCATTGATCGCCAACAAACCAAACAAAACCCAGCGTTGACTGGTAAACTGATTTACCCGATCCTTCCGTTTCGTCATCATCAGACTCGATTTTGTGTCCAGCACAAATATTTTTTCTCGCTCTCTTTCCATTCATTTTCATTTTCATTCTGTCAACAGCAACAAACAGCACTAATAATAACCATGACAACAGCATCGTACAATGCTCGACCTAGTAGTAGCCTGGATGGCTTTATCCTACGGCGATTACAAGGATCCGCCGCAAGACGATGGAGTATTTGCGAAGAATCCTTGAAAAGCAGTAGTACCAAAGCCACCGAAGACAGCAGCATCAGTACATGGGGTGGTGATAGTGATCGAAGTCAACTGTGTGTCTCCTTTCAAGAAGAGCCCAGTGTACTGCTGATTCCATCCATTGCCGAAGAAGACAAGGATGCCCTGTTTTACAGTCAAGACGACCAAGACGACCTGATGGACGATGCCGAAATGGTGGCCACGGGATGGTCCAGTGGTCCGGAAGATACCGATCGTGGTCTGGAACGATTCTCTACCGAGGGACGTAAAGTCAGTCAAGAACAACGACACAACGTTATTTCCGCTGTATTGGAAGAACAACGACGACTTCAAGAAGAGAGTTTTGTCTTTGGCGTCGATCAACAAAAAGTACTGGCCAAAGTGTCTCGACGACTATCGGCGGATTGCCAAGACATGGCCTACCGACGAGCCTACCAAGATGAATTGGACAGTGTGCCACGACAGACAACCACAAAACAGCCAGTGCCACAACAACAAAAGCCAGGGCTGCTCTCACGAGTCTCCACCATGATTCTCATGAACTCCTCCTCACACCACAACAAGGGGTACAACCGCTAGTAGTAATTAATAACAGAGAAACAAGGGGTACAACCGCTAGTAAAATAAAGCTATAAAACATAACATGGATTCATAAGATACAGAGGATTGGTTTCGTTATCCCATTGCTTGTGCTCTACAGTAGCTAGCCAGGAGAGCACTTGACCAACAAACCTAGATAGCTAGATAGCTGCCGCCTCTGGAACGCAACAAGGTAGCTAGCTTCCAGCCGAAGGAGCCAACAAGACCTCGAAAAGCATCCCAAATCCCACACCATCTAACCACGTTCAAGCCGCCAGCCATGCCTACCGGTATTGCCCACCCAGAGTACTGCCAGTGTCTCATTCTCGAACCCTGCTTTCTGACCAAAGGACATTGCCTTGTACTTTCTACTTGGAGCCAGCTAGCTAGTGGGACTTGAACCACAAGTAGCCATGCAGCAATCCTCTAACAATAATGCTTTTAAGTTGTGGGCCAATGTTTACGGCTCCCCCGTGCAGAAATTGGGGATTCTCCCTTCCTCCCAAACCTCCATGTTAATTCCTTCAGAATCAGAGGGGGTGGAGAGAAGCAGAGTGGGTTGCAGTACTGCCTCACGCCTCACGTACCTACCGTTGAATCACATCAAACGACTTAATTAATCACGGGCAGGACTGATGAGTCCCCAAGGAAATGTTCGGGGAGTTGGGGAGCTCTCATTGCCTTCCTTGGGAAATGCCCAACCAAGAACCGAATCCGTCAGTGAGCCAATGCACCGTACATATTACTCTTGCAGTACTACACTGGATACAGTCCAATCATGATGCTCTACATGTATTGCACGATGCTACAGTAGCTAGCTAGGTAGTGCCTCTTGGACGTTCTACCGTACAGCTCGCAAGTCTGCACAAGTCCTCGAGCGACGAGCCGCTCTGTTGTCATACCATACCATACCGGTAGATCATAACTCAATTAGTAAGATAGACTAAGGATTACCAAGCAAATATACCCTGCAGGTGGACATGGATGATTTGGTATGCTTATGAAACAAAATAGGGGTTACCTTTGAGCGAGCTTCTTCCTAAATCCTTGAGATACCTTACAGATCCCTACCCCACCTCAATTTGCCCTTTTCAGATGCATCCATACATGTTCCAGGGCTTGACATTGTACTTCCTGTGTGTTGTGCGAGACACTGGCAGGAATAGCAGCAAAAGTCTAGATAAAAAGATGGAAGAATCCCCATCAATGCAAGGATGTCCTTGATGTGTTGAACCGAGAACACACCAGCAAAATGAATGATATAGCTAGATGTTGATGCTGTTGTCTAGCCAACGATGACTGCAGCACAATAAACATGCATAGTTGTTTGCCTATAGAAATGAATTACAGAGCTCTAGAACTGGTCACATCAAAAGATCCATC